GATCCGGAGCAATTCCCGCAGGTCTCAACGTGTACAGCATGCTGAAGCACCAGACGCTCGTGCTCACGCTGGACACCGTGGAATTCCTGGAGGAGAAGCTGCTCTGGCACGACGTGCGCTACGCTCCGCTCTATCCCTTCTCCATGCCCTACCGCGACTTCCCRTAGCCCGCGGAGCCGGGATGCGCTCCGGGCGCCGCGCTCCCGACGGGATAATAAAGCAGGAGGCCGCACACGGAATGTGTCTCTTCCTGGGGCGCTCCCGCACACAGAGCCAGCGGYATTCCGGTGTTGCCCACATCCCGGGAGGCGGCGTTCCCAAAATCCCAGGGGGTTGCGGGCGGATTGTGCAGCTCTCCGGATCCGGCTTGGCCTCGGAGCGCAGGGAAAGTGCCGGGGACTTCCTGGCGCTCGCGTGGCCGGGCCGGCTCCGGCGGGAGGTTCCGCTGCCGGCCGGACCTGGCGTTCGGCTCCGGCATCTCCCGGCAGGAGGAGCGGCCCCCGGAGCACCRGCACGTTCCCGGGAGCGGCAGGGCGGATAACCAGGAGGCGCCGGGCGCGATGCCAGGGCCGCGGGAAGGAAGGAGCCCCTTTCCGCAGGCAGCTCCGGCCAGGGCCGGCTCTGGCTTCGGAATGTGGCCTGGATCAGGAATATATCCTGACTTGGGGATATATCCTGCTCCAGGGGCCGGATCCTGCTCTGGGATGTGGCCTGGATCGGGAATATATCCTGGCTTGGGGATATATCCTGCTCCAGGGGCCGGATCCTGCTCTGGGATGTGGCCTGGATCGGGAATATATCCTGGCTTGGGGATATATCCTGCTCTGGGGCTGGATGTTGCTCCAGGACATGCTCTGGATCACGGCTCAGTCCTGCTCCGGGGCTGGATCCTGCTCTGGGATGTGTCCTGCTCCAGGTCTGGATCCTCTGGGATGTGTCCTGCTCCGGGACTAGGTCTTGCTCCAGGGCATGCTCCGGATCACGGCTCAATCCTGCTCCAGGTCTGGATCCTGCTCCAGGACATGCTCCGGATCACGGCTCGATCCGGGGCCGGATCCTGCTCCGCATCCTCCCTGACCCCGGCTGCCGGTGCCAGGCGGCAGCTCCGGACGTGCCAGGAGGGCGGAGGGCCCGGAATTCCCTGCCCGTCCCCACCCAGCGCCCGAGTGGGAAAGCGGGGGCCGCCGGGGAGCGGGAACGGGGCCCATCCCGGGGCTCCGGCTCTTCCCGCGTSGCCCTCAGCTCATCCCGGAGCAGGGGCTCCTGGTGCCGCCTCCCTGCGGATCCCTGTGGGCGCGGGGCGGATCTCCGCTGCCCTCCCGATCCATGGATCCCATGGGAACTGTAGGGTTCCCGTGGCACTGATCCAGGAGATCCTGCAGCATCGATCCAGAGGATCCCATGGGAATGAACTGTAGGGTTCCCGTGGCACCCATCCAGGGGACCCCACTGCACCCATCCAAGGGATCCCACAGCATCGATCCAGAGGATCCCATGGGAACTGTAGGGTTCCCATGGCACTGATCCAGGGCATCCCGCAGCATCGATCCAGAGGATCCCATGGGACCGAACTGTAGGGTTCCTGTGGCACCGATCCAGGGGATCCCACTGCAGTGATCCAGGG